GCCCGCGCTGCCGCCCGCAGACACAACTCTCTGTTGTCAATGTGCATCGATGTTGTCCGCGTCTTCTTTACTCTCCACCTCTGTGTGCCTCTCGTCTTGTAAACGCATGGCGCTGTTTCGTATTGGTGTTTTTTTACTTCACTCTATCTGTCAGCACGCACGAGTCTTCTCGGGCATACGCAATGCACTCCCTTCAATGTGTCAGTTTGCAGGAATTGATTTGAAACGCAGAACGAAACGCTATCGTTAAAGCTTTTGATATACAATGAATTTATCGTATGGAGGACAGATATTTGTACCGTTAGAAGAGTCATTATGCACGAATCTCCTTGAATGTTGTGTCGCTTGAACATTTATTTGTATCGAGTCAACGTTTTGTGAACGCAACTTTGCATGGCACCACTTCAACATTCACACGCAATCATTTGTTATCAGTTTAAAATATTCAACAACAATTTTTGCTGCTATTCTTCAGTCATAACAAATTTCTTATCAATAAATTACAATGTTTATCACTATATTGATAGTCTCGAGTTAAAATAAAAGTATTTATATAACATTATAAATAGATGCAATAACACTTTAATGCTGTTTTTACATTCGTAGTTTTTAATCATTTATAAATAAGCTTTACATTGTGCATTAAGCTAGCTGTAAATATTCTATACGTATGTAAATACTATACTCATTAAACCTTTTAAAACCCCTCTATTTAGTATCCGACAGATCTGATTCTATTTTCTACTGTCTAATATCGAACTCTATATACCCTTTGCCTAACTCAACATTCACCCAAAGACTACCGCCCTCTTCTCACTATTGTATCAATGTTGTTTTTGTAAGTTTTGTATTTTTGTCTATCACATAATGAGTACTAGTAGTAGTGAATCCATATTTCTCTAATCATTTAGTTTGTACCTACGTGACTTCCCTTTTGATATTATATTCGAGAAGATAATACTATGCATTAAAATTAAAATTCTTAATTATTTTCTAATTCTCTTTATTAGTGAAAATTTTAATGCATAATGCAAATAAATAATTTTATGGAATCCTTTGAAAATTAAATTCAAGGAAATCGATTATTTACATCTATACTGATATTGATTAGATCTGAGTCTAACACCAAAATGTGTAAAATTATTAGATTTCTTTTAAATTGGCAAACTAACCATTGCATGAATTTTTATTCGATCACGAAAAGTTTGTAGTGTTTTTAACACGTTCATGCCACGAACTAACTTGCTAATGGTAGTGGCATTCAAAGTGTTAGAGAGTAGGAAATTAGATATAAAATTGTATGTAAAATGCGATATCAGATGGTCCCCTGGGATGCGAGGGTCTGGGTCCTCGGACGGTGGAGGGCTGTCGGACTTTATCGACGGCCTAGGTCCCGGCCAGCTAGTGGGCCGGCAGCTGCTCGGCGCGCCCACGCTAGGAGACGTCCAGCTTTCTATGTGCTATCAGAAAGGATTCTTAGAGGTTAGTATACATTTTTAAATTCATCAAGAAGATGGACTTAGCATATAAATCACTTTTTTACTATCGTTACAACTTAAAAATTCCGAGCAACACTTCTTGTCAGGATTCCCGCGCCATTCTAATACGTCTAATGACATTGACAGCTGTCAGTTAGAGATGTTACGTTTATACATATATTCTAGTGTTGCGCCAATTCTTCAGTGCCCTCTACTTAACAGTACTGAGACAATATTGGCGTAAGAATTTTAGCGAATTTTCGTTTAATTCCGCCTACATAGAAGATTGTACAATAAACAGTTTAGATTAGTGATTTCCAAAATGGTTAAGGTCGGTGGTTTAGGTCGGGGTCCTCAAGAAACCTGATGAGGTTGCACAATGGCAAAATGATAAATAGGGTTCATAAATTAAGTTCATAATTAAGTAAAAAGTTAGTATACGAGATGCGTGTGAATCTTTGACGTAGGTGGAGGTGATCCGTGCGCGGGGGCTTCAAGCGCGGCAGGGCAGCCGCACGCTGCCGGCGCCCTACGTGAAGGTGTACCTGGTGAGCGGCAAGCGCTGCATCGCCAAGGCAAAGACCAGCACCGCACGACGCACGCTAGACCCGCTTTACCAACAGACGCTTACCTTTAGAGAAAACTTTAAGGGATGCATTCTACAGGTAAGTCGAACAGTTACTTGTTACGGACTGATTTAGTTATAGAAAAAAAATAGGTTTAATTAAGCGTACGGTACGGTTGTAGAGAATACGAATTCGATATCCACAAAAAATATGAAATAAGAAAATTCGTAGGTTAGGATTTCTATGTAACTAAACAATCTTCTTAGTGTTATTGTCATAAAAGATAAGGATTATCTTTTAATTTAAATACTCTTATGAAATAGGTAACGGTGTGGGGCGACTACGGTCGCATCGAAGGCAAGAAAGTGTTCATGGGCGTGGCGCAGATAATGCTAGACGACCTCAATCTTTCCAACATTGTCATAGGATGGTACAAACTTTTCGGAACTACTTCTTTGGTAAACACTTTTTATACTTTCAATGCTACTGGGATTATGTATTATAAAATTACCATAAAAATACTTAATTATGATATTTTCTGTTTCAGTAACTATCGGTTGGACGACTTGTTCGTTCAGGCGTCATGTATATCAACACAATAAAAATTAAATTTGTCCATATAATAACTAGTGGTACTGCTTTAATATCATAATAAAATGCAAAATATCTTAAATATAGGACATTTTCTATAAAACAAAAGTTATAAAGATTTGTATTTTAATTTCGGTTTAATTTCTTTGGGACGCCTACCGATTACTTGACTAGCATTTTATAGCAAAAAAAAGACAAAGTGTATAGTGTAATCGATAATTATGTATAAGTATTAAAAAGCCAAATTCATCTTGTGTTTTCTTTGTAAACTTGAAGTTGTAATACAGTAAAAATAGCCTAAAACCTAATTATCACCGCTACAAATAAGTACTATAATAAAACTATAAAATTGTAAAAACAATTTTTATTACATGTAGGTCATTTTACATAATAGTAGATAAAATATTGCATATATTTAAACTAACCACTTGTATACTTACACACCATCAGTCGCAGCGCCGACAATGTTCATGTACTTGTCAAATATGATTGTCAACAAAGAACAAACCAAAACACCAAAGTAGAACAAACTGAGAGACAATCTGAAAGTGGAACACCGCGAAGTGACCTGACTGTACCGATCCTTGGAATTTATATTTCCATATCCTTCATTCTTTTTGAGAATAACAGAGATAAAATTTTTACAGTAATTCAGCGATATCTGGATATCTAACACGAAAATTTGCGAGTATTCGTAACGTCAACAAAGTATGAGACTTGACCAATTAAAAAACTAATACTTTATCAATGGCGTTTCGATACTCGTAAATTTTAATACGAGACTCACAGAACTAACGAAAAATATTTTCGATTTTATAGTAATAACTTTATCAGACAGAATAATACAAAAAAAAATGTAAAACTCTACGACAATAGTATTTAAAATCAGCTGATCAAATATGTATTTTGAACTAATATAGTTCTACTTCAGTGTCACATATAACATTTCATTTGTAACAATGTACAGCCTAACCGAGAATATAAAATTCCTAGACTTCCATTTTTATTGTGAAACGAAATTCTTGATTTCTAATTCCTGGTTAAACTATACAAGTGAATACTTAAGAAAGGCATCCAACATTTCGATCAAGGTCCATACTTTAATTATACTAAGTTGTAGTGATCGTCAGTTTACAAACTAACGGGTCACTTAGTGCAGCAGCTGTTTGGGCTGCTTGGAGGGCGAAGCGCCCGGCAGCCGGCCTTCGCCCGCGCGCTTCACACCTGTTGATTTTATATCTGAAACAACATACGTACCGTTTACAAATATGTTACTATGATTTACATAACATAGATTAAATACGATAAATTGCATAAAGTGTCATAAGCCATTATGACACTGGAATAATGTGTTGCCTTCACACATATCTTGAAATTTCTTATATGTGCAAAATGCATCAAGTGCAAGAAAAAAACTACTTAAAGCCGTCGGTCCCTCATTGATGATATTTTAATCATATGTATTTTCCTTGAAAACATACGTAACAGTATGTTATTGTGACTTACATAAGGTAACCTTGATATTATAAAACTAATCGAATAGGGGTTATGAATCAATTCAAATACAATTTGGGTGAAAACTAGGTAAGCTTAAATAAAAGATTATTTTTAATTTACCATTTTATAATTATAATAAGTAGACAAACTTCATTTATGTACAAACTGTTCAAGAATATAAAAAACCACCATTATAGAAATATGGAACCGTATAAGTTACGTGAAAGCAGACTTTGAAGAATTATATAGACTAGATATAAGGAATTACAATTTTTTCACCAGTAACTGTATTGAAAGGTACTATGTTAGTTGTCGAGTTTAGTGTCACCTCGTATCCTTGTATTGACATGTTATAAAACACTAGCATTCTTCCGCGACTCCGTCCGCGTGGAATTTTAAAAAACAAAAGTTAGTAGCCTGAGAGCCTATGTGTTTTTCCAAACTATCTACCAGACTATACCAAATTTCATTGAAATCCGTTCAGTCGTTTAGGCTATAAACTATAAAAAACATCCATCGATTCATCCATCCATCCATCTAAACTTTCACATTTATAATATTAGTATAGTAGTATAAAATAAACTAAACAGTATCACAAAATAAAACAAACATTTGAATTATGTTATAACACCTACAGGCAGGCGATTCATTTATATACAATTAATTATATTGACATGTAGTTTTAAGGACCTATTAACAGACAGCGTTGATGGATCATGTGAAAAATATCTTAAGTGAAGTGTCAACTATGCTATATATTTTTAAATCTCTTTGGCTGAAACTGAAACCTTTCTATAATCTGGGATAGGATTTTTATATTTTGGGTTTGTCTATACTGAATTATCGATAGGACGTATACCTGTAGATGTGGATAGTATTGAGAGCAGATTACCTTGCAGCCACCTGACTTGCGTGGCGGGCCCGTAGCCCTTGTCGTTGCGCGCCGCGATGCGGAAGATGATGGCGGGCTTCGTGGAGGAGTCGACGTGCGCGGAGCTGAGCGAGGCCACCGGCACCACGCACGTGTTGGCCTTGCCGCAGTACACGCGCACGAACGCCAGCTGAGACTTCGCCGCGTCCTGCACACAGTTTACCAGTGTTAAAGCCTTTTTTTATATCTTTGCACTGCACGATCGGCTCGCCCGGTGGAATACCACAACCACACAGAAGAAGTTAAGTGGGAGCAATTCCGCGTAGTCTGATGAGTATGCTGTCGTAGGCCTAATT